AGATTGTAGTGTAAAGCACTTTGAGTGTCTTGAAATAAGATAGAAAGGTGCTATATAAGTACAGTCCATGTATCATTTACCATTTAACATGCAGACTCCACCCAGAAAGGTCCTGGGCTGGGATTTGAGCCAGGGTAACCTGCTCGCTGGGAGGCAGCGACTCTACCAACTGTGCCACCGTGCTGCCAGATGAAAAGTGTAGTTTCCTTAAATGATCGGGGAGGTTGAAGATTAATAAATGGTGGTCAAGGCCATCACTGGCCACCCCCTGGCTCCTCCACCTGGTGATGGATTAAAATGTCTCCACCTTCTCTCCAGGATCCGTCACTCTGCATTGCCTCAAGAAAAAATAAATGAATAAATAAAAGCTCTGTTCTTCTCCACTGTGTAACTCCTACCCACTTGAATATATTGCACCTAAAACACTAAAGTTTATTTCATTCCCTGTTCAGGTCCAGTCCAGAAAACACTCATCTCAAGAACTACAAACATCCACTATTCAGATCCTTTAGCGATGGGAGGGCATTGCTTGTCAACTAAAATTGTACATGTGGAATAATGCTAAAGTTAAAATCTGCACTGAACTTAAATTTCTACTTAAACTCAGGAGTTCACACTCTTGGATTTTAAAATGGGTCCAAAAGGGCCGGGGAAATCCACGGTGGCAGAGATGGTTTTATATAATTTGTGCAATTTAGTTGTATAGCCATATAACCTGAATGCATGAACCTGTGGGAGTCCTGGCTCTGCCAGACAACTCTCTCTTTCATCTACAGCTGCAGGAGATTTCTAATCAACCACCAGTCCACACCTGAACCTGATTAGAAGGACGACTCTGGAGGAGCATAAAAGCTTCAGCCAAACACTCCAGCACCAGGACATTATCCTACCTATGTTGACTTCCAAGTCTTGGATTCATATCACCTTCCTAGGCTTCTGTGCTCCTTGTGTTTGCTACTCGTCAAAGGTTTTGTCCCGACTGCTCTCCAAGGCCTTCAGCCTGAAGAACCAGCCACCTTCACAACTAAGCCTGATTCTCTCTCCAACGGTACTCACCTGTTCTCAAATTAAGGAACCTCCTGGAATCAGAACATTGGATCCCATCTACAAGAAAGATACTTTTAAATGAGACATTCATCTACTCTCACATGAAATATAATTAAAGACTCAACTCTGTCCTCACCATGTCTCTGCTTCTTTTTCAGCCATCCGATCCCTCTACCTGTAAATTAAAATATGTGTGTGTGTATGTATGTATGTACGTACCTACGTACGCATGTACCTACGTACGCATGTACCTACGTATGTATGTATGTATAATACTCTGTCTGTCTCTTGTTCAGTCTGCCACTTGGGACTGAAATGTCAGACCGAATACTTCCGTCTGAAATCTCCTTCGGTAGATTATAACCAAAGTTAATGATAGAACTAACTGAAATCATGTTAGAAATAACAAACATGAGTTTATTTACCTCAAACATCAATTTTAGTCTGGATAAATACCCCGGAGGTCACTGAGTGAATGTTCAGGACTCCAACTGTGTCTTCCAGACATGAGCAGTCTGCACTGAAAGACTAAACCTGGAACAATTCATTCCAAAAATAGCAGGATGTGCCAGGTAGCAAGGCCTTATTAACACAAACACTTCAGCATATTTTGTTGTTTTGCATTTTGGAGCTGCAAAACTGACAGTTTAAATGTATTAATGGCTGCGGGGACTAGATTTGAATGAGATGTTTGATTTTAAGTCAAACTATGGTTGTACCTGTGAGGGGAAAATGAGAAATGTTATATTTGGTCAAATAAGGCTGCAATGAAATTCATAACATTTATTTATTTCTAAAAAGACCTGTGGAATTAGATTTGAAAGCTGCATATTCTCCACGTTTTTCTAATGGACAAGATTTTCTGCGTAGTTTGAAGTATTTGTGGCTCTTTTGGCTTTCCCATCCCTCTCAACATCAGCTCTGGGGCCAGGTTCATCACAGCTTTCCAAGGCTTTAACAATGGATGCTTAGATTTCTGGCAGGTGAGCATTTCCTCCACAAGCTGTCACTCTCTTTCCTCTGTTTATTCACAAAAACAAAATCCTACCTCTGCCCTCTCTGGAGCATTCCAGCTGTTTTATGCCCAACTATTTTTGTGCTGCAAGCTTCTGCCAACCTGATTTCCTCATTTAACTCCCAACAGCTGGACATGCTGACTGGCACAACCAGAAGAAGTAGCAGGAAGCTGCATCCAAACCACTCACCCTAATTTATTTATCGTCTTCTGCCTGCCACAAATAGTTCATGATATCAGTAGATTTGACTCTGAAAATAAAACTGTTTGACAGCAGGAGACAGCTACACTTACTTTGGTTTCTCACTGCCTCAGCTTTGGTCTTCAGGCTGCACATTTCTCTTGACATGAAGTGTTGGCCAGCCTGGTGGTTGGGTGACAAATGGGCAGCTGTCGAGAGTATGAGCTGCTGCAGAGCTAAAACTCATGGCCTATTGTCAACACACACCCCTCCATATGGTGCAAGCCTTAATTTATACAGCTAAACCACGGCTGCTTCTTTTATACCAACCAGATGTTGGAGAAAGGCTGAAAGCAGCAGTCCGTGCACTTTAATTCAGCAGCTTGTTTTTTTTTCCACTAGTGGGCATTTGTACTAATGCTGGATTAAAGGACGACAGAAATTGCTCGTCAGGAACCCAGATTTGGGTTTGTCGAGTCTAATTGGATCCACAAAGCCTGAATCCAAACCAACTGATGGAAGTGTTTGGTAGTAGAACGTTGCTCGAGCTGAGTGTAATTTTGGACACTAACTTACAGCCACTTCATGACACACTGGTTGGCTGTAGGAGAACAATCAGCAACAGACCACTGTCACCACAATGCACTGCAGGACGCCGCAGGACGTCATTCAGCCAGCGGCCGCCAGATTGTACAACTGCAGACAGTGAGAACTCAGGGCTCAACAATTTACCTTTTACATGCGTTTCCAACGGCTTCCATGCTAAACTAACTGGAACTGATGCAAATGTCACTATTTTGGGGGACTGCCTAAAGGCAGCCACCTGAAGAGGGTCTTTCTCTTCTATCAATTTTAATGCAGCCTGAACAGCAGTGTGTCCCCCCACAAATGTTATATCATTACAACTGGCTCATCACCTTGATGTGTGCTCTTACTTTTATTGGTATTTCAAGTTACCATGTAAACAATTTGCAAACAAAGATGCCATTTTTCTCAATGGAAAACACTGACAGAACTCCACAGTTTCTAACGTCACAGTGAGGTCACATGACCTAGAGTTGAGAGGTCCCTGAACAAAACGCTGATTAACTTTTAGAGCCAATTTTGGTTCAAGATGGCTGCCGCAGCTACCTCAGAAAACTCTAAATTGACTATAACTCAGTCTTTCTCTAAGATATTAAGCTGAAGTGTGGTACAGTCGTAGCTGAAAGCGAGTTATACATTCCTAATGAAAATCAAAAATCCAAGATGGCCACCTTAGCTCAAAGGGAAAAAATATAACTAATCTATTTTATAATATATTGAGCTGAAATTTGGTGTGGTGGTAGTTGACAGAGATACACAACACATATTCTGAATTAAAATAAAAAAATACAAGATGGCCACCAAAACTAATTTCAAATGGCTCTAACGTAGCCATCTTTAGAGCTATTCAGCTGAAATTTGGTGAACTGGTAGTGAGAACACTCCCTAATCAACTCTGATTGCAAATAAAACTATCAAAGATGGTCCCCAAAGTTACATTTAAATGGTTTTAATTCAGCTATTTTTACACATACAGAGCTGAAATTTGGTGTGGTTATAGCTGAGAACATTCCCCATCACTTACTGAATCCAAATAAAAAAGTCCAACATGGCTACCATAGCTTAAAGAAAACTAAATCATGGATTTGTTTGCCATATTGAGCTGAAATTTGGTGCATTGGTAGCTGAGAGGGACCCCCAACACATAGTACTGTCAAATCACAAATTTAAAATGGCCACAATGTGGCAGTCAAAGTTTCTCCAGAAACTTTCTAGTTACTTTTCCCTCCTCCATCAATAGTGAATTATTTTATTGAGCTTGAACTGTGTTTTTACTATTATTTTACTTAATTTTTTTCTATGTTTGGAGTACTGTAACCAAACCACTTGCACATGGAGATTTATTAAGTACAAAGTATATTTGAGTAGAAATTAAGATATTTTTGACAGACAAAAATAAAAGAATTGGCATGTCCTTATCACCTGTTATCAAGAAAGGCAGATGATCATGTAATTGTGTATTTTAGCAAAATTTACAAAGTACTGAACAGATTTTTATGAAACCTCCCGTCCCCTGGATGTAAATCTACAGCTATTTAACTTTTGGCTGCCGCAGCTAACAGATAACATGAAAATTATTATAAATCAGTGGATTTTAGAAATACTGGGCTAAAATTTGTTTTGGTTGTAGCTACGGGGCATTCAAACCACTAACGGATCAAACAAAACCTTTGTTTTCATTTTTAGCAAACATGACAGCGGGTGATATGCATTTCTTCAAGGAAAATTAGTTTTATTGGTAATAACAAAAGGTTGGACAAATGTCTCTGTTGCTTTCTGGTGGTCAAAAGTGAAGTTGGCAGGATTCAGTTTACAGAAGCTGCCATATTGAATTTTGGGGGCAGAGTTTGCGCACTTTAAGCCCCGCCCATTTCCCCTCACACAGAATCATGGTGAGACATGACCTTTTCTTTTAAGCATAACAATTACAGGTGTTTTTAAATGTATTTAATTAATTTTTTTCATGGATGTGATTTTTTTTTTCTTTCTTGTACTGGAACTCATTAGTGGGGATGCTGGTCCAGTTCCGGCTTCAAGTTCCAGATTCCCAACAGAGATCTGGAGTTTCCTTTACAGTTGATGCTTTGCAAGAACATTTGTAGTTTTCTGAGCTTCAAAGGACGCTGGTCAAACTTTTCATTCTTCTTCCTTCTTCTTGTTTCCCTCCTATAGTTGCGTTCTCTGGTCTTGGTTTCACCTCCTTCTACCTGGCGGGAAAGCTACAGTGCTTCACGGATCAGGGACGAGGGCGCAGCTGGCGTCTGTGTGCCATGGTGCTGCCTCTGTACAGCGCCCTGATGATCGCTTTGTCCCGAACGTGTGACTACAAACACCACTGGCAAGGTACATGCCCTGCGGCTTGGAGGCATAAAGTACATTTTCTACAGTGCTAATTAAAAACTATGTCCTCAATGTGAAACCAGAGAGATGTTCAGATGTATAAGTCAAATGTTAGTTGATGCATTGGGACATAGGTGACCATATGCTTTCATCTGCACAAAAAACACATTAAATTTTATTCAGCAAGAAGGAAATTTGAATTGCTAGTTTAAGTTTTTTATTGGGGCGGCTGTGGCCGACTGGTTAGAGCAGTTGTCCTCCAATACAAGAGTTGGAGGATCAATTCCACCAGCAGGCACATGCTGAAGTGTCCCTGGGCAAGGCACTGAACCCCCTCATTGCCTCTGATTGGTGTATGAATGTGATAAAACACTAATTATTCTTTGTAGTGATCTAGTAGAGTGCTGTATGGATGGGTAAATGAGGGCATGGATTGTAGTGTAAAGAGCCTTGTGTGTCTTGCTAAGATAGAAAAGCACTATACTGTATAAGTACGGTCCATTTACCATTTACCATACTTCCTTTAATAATTGGAATAATGCCTCTGGGGATGCAGAAAAACAATCCATTGCATAAGTGAACATGAAGTGGGAGAGAAGGTGTGATAACGTGATGATAGCTCTGTCATATGGTTCTAATTACTTTCAGAAAGCCATATAATCCTGGCTACAAAACTGACAACTTCTCATTAGAACCTGCCTTTATTTGCACCCATAGCAACACACTAGCGGTCGTTACAGCATTTCCTGAACTCTCGTTGGGTCTTCTGCAGGCTGTACGTAAGCCGTAGCACTGCAGTCCATTAAATTGGAGGGTACTCCAATCTACTCCCAGTGTAAACACAAGCTTGAAACTCCCATTAGCCCAGCTGCTACACCATGCTCCATGAATATTAATTTACCAACTAACCCTTGACACAGAGGAGATGCTGGCAAGGCCATAAAACTGAGGGGCTATATCACGTCAGATGGCACTAAATTAATTGGACAGCAGTCGATGGAACATCTGGAATAATGTGTAGAGTTTGAACAGTAAAAATAATTGTATTTTTTCATATTTAGAGTGAAACAGTTTTACAAAATTAATATTTTGGTACAATTTGGCAAATGTTAGCATTTGGCTGCAGCTTTTATTTGCAGTTTTGCAGTTCTTAAGCCTTCAGGTAGCTTTTTAAGCTTTGGCTTTGCTAGCTTTGTTTCTGTTTTGCTTATTTTAGCTTATTGTTCTACTTTCTGAAATGCTACTGATATAGTTTCAGCTTCTTCAACACATTTCCCCATCTTTCAGCACTCACTGCATTTTCACAGAGAACGCTAGTTTCTGTATCTACTATATTATTTTTCATTTTAGCCCAAAAGTGGATAATAAAGACAGAATATAGTTTTGATGGTATAGAAGCCTCTTCATCAGCTCCTTTATCTATCAGCTGTTTTTGCTGTTTGGGTCTTTTCCTAAAAGCCTCATTTCACCCCAGCAGTGAGACATTATTTGATGTGTTAAAGCAGAAGAAGCCATGGGTCTCAGAGGTAACTGAGCCTGTAGTTCTCAGTGGAACAGATCCATTGCTTTGCTTTTCATGTAACTTCCTTCAACCTCCAAACAAGCCGGATATGATGAATGTTCTCTATAACACTAAAGCACATACAGCAATCCCTAATTAGCCGAGCTCGTTTGAGGAGAGCAGGAGTTATTTATCTTAAACCACACACTGGCCAAAAATAGCCGTGCACGCATTCTTTAAAATATGTGTTTATGTGACTCTGCAGACGCCTTCGTTGGAGGAGTGATCGGGTTGATGTTCGCATACGTCTGCTACCGCCAGCACTACCCACCCTTCCTACACATGGACTGCCACCTGCCTTATGCCAGCCTTGCTGCCGCCACCAAGATGCCATTGCCTCCTCAGGATGACCCCCAGCCCACCGACAATGCCACCACCCTTCCTTTGGAGGGCTTGACTGAAGGGCCGGTATGACTAGTGGCCCCCACCGAGACAACCCCCAAGGCTTTTACAAAGCCGCCAAGCCCCATTCCCCATGAATGACAAGCTTCTATATACATTCCAGAGGACCGTAAGGCACTTCAACCATTTCCAGTCTTTTACTCTATGTCTCGGTGACACATTCACTTTACTTTTTTCCTTTCTAAACCTGTTTCTTTGAACTGCAGCCATTAAAGTCAAAATTTAGATTTAATGAAAGAAACAAACTTGAGAGGACGTGAGAAATCTCTACAGAGAACTAAGAAAGAAAAACATGGAGCAATGTTGTTTTTATTGCTATGAGTTAGGGTGAAAAAACATGTTGTCTGTTTATGTTTAAACTTTTGTTTTTGTCTTTAATGTTGTCAAAGTTGGTTTGTACTGCAGTGAAAAAAAACATTGAAGTTTTGGGACAAACAGTTGGTGAGGCACAAAGAAAAATCCATAAAAAGACGCAGCAATTAGTCCAGTTATAACCAGTAATACAATCGTGTATACAGTATGTGACACCAAGGGCGCCTGAATGAGTTGCAAGCAAAACAGGGAATATAGAAATTTATTTATAATTGCCTCTATGCAGCAAACATGTTGTACATGAATGTATAATAGTGCCATTAATAAAATATTTCACTTTAGATTTGTTTAATAGGGAAAGACCAGATGCATCTGCATTGAAATACCCCCAATAATCTTTCCTTTAAAAATTAGCCTCTTTGCACAGCTTTGAAATAAAATGTGCAAATTTTACACTAAAAATGTCACTGTTTATAGTGATTGGATTCAAATAAACAAGAGTGTGAAGACAAACTTCAAATTTAAGATTTATTAAACAATAACAAAGAGGCTGATGAAGAAGCAAAACCTACAAAATACAAAACTTGAGGAAATGCAGAGGAGGACCAAAACACACAATGCTTGACTGCAGGTATGATATAACCTGGGAGGCAATATGGACTGGGGCTGACGAGGCTAGGAGAGATACCTGAGCTAAATGGCAAAAGGGAACAAGTGTAAGTGGACATGGCAGAAGTGGGGGTAAAGGCTGACTCAAGAAAAGAAGCTGAGGATGGCTCAGTGGAAAGTACTAAACAAAAAGAAACAAATAAGAAATGCATTTTTTTAAAGTAACAAATATACCCCACCACCCCCAAATAAAACCCCAGATTCCAGCAAAAACATGCTTTGGGTAGTGCTATGTTGCACAAAGCAGACAAAAGTTCATAAAAGTAAATAATAATAAATGTAAAAATTAAAGAAAGAAAATAAATAAATAATGACAATCTGAGATTTTTAAGAAACAGAGCTGCAATTGATTTTGAAAAATCCTTGGCCAAGCAATGAATGTTCCATCCATCCATCCATCCATCCATCCATCCATCCATCTATCCTCTTTTAATAGTTCCAGACTCAGGTCTCGGGGCAGCATTTTGAGCAGGGAGGTCCAGACATCTCTTCTAGATCTTCTGGAAGGACCCCAAGACGTTCCCAGGATAGATGAGAAACATAGTCTCTCCAGCGTGTCTCTCCTGTGTGTCTTGGGTTTTCCCCAGAGTCTCCTCCTTGAAGGGTATTCCTGGAAAACCTCCCTAGGGATGCATCCAGGGAGCATCCTTACCAGATGTCTGACGTACCTCATGTGGCTCCTCTGGATGTGGAAGAGCAGTGGTTCTACTCCAAATCTTTCCTGGATAACTGAACTTCTCACCCTGTCTCTAAATGATAGTCCAACTACCCTGCAAAGAAAATTGATTTTGACCACGTGTATCTGCAGTTTTGTACTTTTGGTTACTACCCAAAGCTCATGACCGAAGGTGAAAGCAGGAATGTAGACCAACCCATAAACAGAGAGCTTCATTTTGCATCTCAGCTCCCTATTCACCACAATGGACCACACAGCATCCACAATACCGCAGAAGCTGTATGATCCATCTCCATTCTTAATATTTAAACTCCTCCACTTGGCAGCATCTCACCAACCGTAGAGGGTAACGTTCTCTCTACATTTAGTTTTGTGGTTAATGTCACTAACATGGGGATTTCAGTCTGTTTCAGAATTGTGTGGATCAAGTAAAAAAAATTTATAAGAAATAATAACTATATGAGGCCTGAGTTGGACTAAAACAAATCAGAGTTGATGGAGATTCTTAAATTCACTGACAACTCTTGATGCACATATGAGTATTTAAATAAAGCAAATTTAGAATTCATAAAGACTTAAAAATTTTATTTCTGAGAAATATAAGATGCCTTTTAGGACAAAAGGTAGGGAAGCAAAATCCTAAATTTGCACACACACACACACAAACACACACACACACACACCACTATAACAACTTGGAGTGCAGTTACTTCATTGATCAGGTGCTAACTGTTAATGACACTGAGGGTTTCTCATCAGGTTTACAGATCAGCCTCATTTTCATAGATTTTTGTTTTGTGTGTAAAATTCAAGGACTTTGTGGCTCCTCTGCTTTTAATCATTTTTGGTTGTCCATGGCAACGCAACAAAAGGCGTAGAACCACTCTCGGCAAGCAGTGATCTGTATTTAAAAAAACACTTCAATATTCCACTTTGTTCCATTTCTCCCTTCTCTCTCGTTTTGCCCTGCAAATTCCCAGTCTTTCACTCTCTCTCTCTGTCAAGGTGCAGCCTTTTTTTTATACAAGAACAGCATTTAACATGTGTTCATGGAGGCTGAACAAGGGACGTGGACCCTCAATGAATGCAATCAATTATCAGCGGCGGGAGTGCCTCGACTGCCACAAACTCCGCTCCTGATCCTGCATTAATCCTCGTTTAGTGAGGTCAGCCTCTCCTGCGTCTCAGAACATCAGGGCAACATGAGCTGTGCTAACTCCCCGAGCTTTGCAAACAGCTTTCAGCTCTCTGAGACACCCCACCACCTCCACCACCATTCTAGCATTCAGCAGGAGACAAATCTAAACTATGATTTGGATGCATTACTCATCCATTACATTCTCATTATTTATTAATACAAGAACAACATTTTGAATGAAGATGACATCAGAAACTTGAAGCCGTTTTTCCTGCCTGGGTTGTACATAAATCAACACAGAGCAGGAATACCCCCCCCCCCCCCACACACACACTCACACACACACACACACATACCCCACATCATCCACAGAACAATTTGTAGCCAATTGCAAGCCCTCGGAATGATGGGTTATTTTGTTGCCTAGGTTACTGAGTGGTTTTTGGTTTGTTTTGCTTTTGCTGTGGCATTAATGGGAAGGTGCAATCTTACCTGAACACAGAAAACAGCACCTCAAAATGTGATGCATCATGTTTACAGTGCCTCGCAAAAACAACAATCCCTCTTGGTAAACTTTCCATTTTGTTGCCTTAAAACTTGAAAAGTGTTGTGTTCACATGTATTCAGCCTCCCGAACGCAGCACTGTGACGAGCCACAGTCTGCTGCAGTTACAGCTTCACGTCTCTTCAGGTTCGTCTCCAGGAGCTTCTGACCACCGGACCTTTTGTCCATTCTTGACGACCAAACTGCTCCAGGTCCTTCAGCTTGGTGCTGGTTGTGTCCAACAACCTTTAAATTAAAGAAGAGATTCTCAGTTGGACTGAGATCTTGTTGGAGTTTGGTTCTTCTGCAGCTCCTGAAGCCCCAAGATGACCCCAATCAACCACACCTGCAACCCATTCCCTTGATAAGCGCCAGCAGTACATAAGGTTGCAGAAGAGCTCTACTCCCCACTGGAGCATTACATGATCTTACTGTGATCCATCAAACCCTCAACTTCTATGAGTAAAACCCTGGATTCCTTGTGGATCTCCTCAGCTGTATCGACTGCCTTACAACCACTTGCCTGCCACACCTGTGACTCTCCTCCTTCACCTTCCCCCCTGTGCTGGAACCACTTTGAATCCTCTTCCTCGCTTTGTCTATGACACCAACTGTAAGGAGAGAAATTACATTATTTCACATCAAATGAGCTCCACCAACCTGACATCTCTCCTTGCTCCCCAGGATTACAGAGCCTCCCTTGATCATTGTGATATTATCACTGTAAAAGAAAGCACTGTTAACCTTTATGTGTTTGGAGTCTGCTCCACTTCAGTTCATACTCTTTGGGCTCCTAGCATTCGTTACAGATCTTGGCTTTGACCGGACCATTCCAGAACCTTTAACTGGTGGAGCATTCTTCAGAGTTGAGTTTAGGGTCATTGTCCTGATGGAAGGTGGAACTCCACCCAGGTTCAAACCTCTTTGGTTCTCTCACTTTCACTAAATTTTACTCCATCTTTCCATTCAACTCTGACTGGAATTTCTGTATGGTTCTTAGGGAAAACATTCCTGCATCATGATACTGCCACCACCATGCATGACTGTAGGATGGTGCTCTCAGAATGATGGGAAGTGAAAGATTTACCTCAGACATGGTGTCAGACATACCATCTTCTTCCACATGTTTGGGGGTAAAATCCAAACAGTCCAGACTTTTTAATTTTTTCTTCAATCTGTGTCTTTTCCCTGCCCCTTTTCCGTGAAGCCCAGTTTCGTGCAGCTTCATGCAGCTTCATGCAGCTTCATGCAGCTTCTTCGGTACTACGGACATATCTTTCCATCTCTGCAGGACTACTCAGCTCCATCAGAGTTGTCTTTGGCCTTCTGGAGGCGTCTGATAATTATCTTCCTTGGTTTTGTTGGACCAGCCTCTCTCAGCAGGTTTGCTGCAGTAATACCAACATTCTGTTTCCTAACAATGGATTTAACAGGACTCTGTGGGATGTTAGGGGTTCTGGACTGTTTTTATTTTACAAACCAGCTTTTATGTGTATTTATCCACAACTTTACAACAAGTGTGGAGAGTTCCTTGGTCTTCATGATGTCTTGCTTGATGGTAGACCTCTTGATTCCAGGGGCTGTCCGAACAGATGCATAAATACTGATAATTCATTTAAATCTTAGACCGTTCACGTATTTAACTGGTTCTGTAGCTTCTGAAGGTGACTGGAAACGTGAACACCCCATTTTTCAGTTTTATATTTTTTAAAAATCATCGTTTTCCCTAA